TGTTTGTGTTCTTCTGCCAGTTCTCAGGCCAGTCTGCAGATGACATGCAGAAGACTTATGCTGAGTTCTGTAGCCGACACTTAAAGGCCGTCAAATTATACAAGGAGCTGCTCGCTAAAGACAAGAAGTTCCAGTTCTTCATACGGGTAGGAGACACATGCGTGGACGTATGTATATGTTAACGACCGTACCGACTTACCAAGACTTGTTCCAATTATACTTCCCAATTATTATTTTACCTTCCTCCGTCTCTTCCTCATTTTGTTGTTGTGACTGCTGGCCTTCCTGCTGCACTTCTCCACAGCTGTTGCCAGCATCAGCAGCCTCGTGTGACCGCGAGGGCTGTTGACGACGCAGCAGCATAATAAATATGAACAATAAAGCAACAATAAGCATAAGTAAATAACTGGTTTACTTGGCACCTACAATGTTTCATACTAAAGGCATTTTAATTTTACTAAGCATAGACTAAAGATGTTGATCATGTCGGAAGAGAGCTAAAGGGTTTGAATGAGCATGTCTGAAAGACATAAGGAACCAGATGTGGCTGCTATAATTGGTTAACAAAGGGCAAAAATGCTGTTTAAGAACAAGAGGAGACGTTCAAGAAAAAGAAAACGCAGCTTCAATTGAAGAGTGGAGGAAATGCTTCATCTGTGCCTAAGATAAATTCACTGCCCCCTAAAATTAAGAGAACACTTGGAAAACACATCAGATCTTAATGGGGAAACATTCATGCTGATACTGGTACAGATGGTAATGAGTTAGGAATGAAAGGATGCCTCATTGTTTGATGGAATGAAATGAAATTATGAACCTACAGATGGCTGAATTTAAAGAATGGCGCAGCAGGCTCTTCCATTTTACTAACGGTACTCTGCGGTTTGCATGACTGACAACGTTGGGACATGCTCCTAATGAGACTGCAGATGGTGACCTGGGGGATCTACTTTTACATCTGCCTGCATATTTGACCCAGATAAAGCACACCAGGAGCAACCCAGTTACCCACTGCACCAGTGCAGGGTACAGTGGGGCAGAGGAATTCCCACTCTTAACGACGGTCAGGATGGCGTTGCTCAGCCTGTAGAGGCCTGTGTGTGAATTCTTTCCCCCCCATTGATATCTGATGTTTTTTCCAAGTGTTCTGTTCATTTTATCAGGCAGTGCATTTATCTTAGGTACTGATGAAGCACAGACATGCCACCCAGACCATCACTGGCCCACCACTAAACTTGTCCGGGTAGCAGAGTGTTCCCCACGACTTCTCCGGGTCCTCTTACGTATGTCACGTGTGTTCAGTGTGAACCTGCACTTATGTGTGGACAGCACAGGATACCAGGGTGGACCTGCCAATTCTGCTATTCTGTGACAAATGCCAATCATGCACTCACACATACAGTGTTGATACAATGTTGATACTGTGTTGATACAATGTTGATACTGTGTTGATACAATGTTGATACAGTGTTGATACTGTGTTGATACAATGTTGATACAATGTTGATACAATGTTGATACAGTGTTGATACTGTGTTGATACTGTGTTGATACAGTGTTGATACTGTGTTGATACAGTGTTGATACAGTGTTGATACAGTGTTGATACTGTGTTGATACAGTGTTGATACAGTGTTGATACTGTGTTGATACTGTGTTGATACAATGTTGATACAGTGTTGATACAGTGTTGATACTGTGTTGATACAATGTTGATACAGTGTTGATACAGTTAGCACAGGGCTAACTAGACATTGTCGCGCCCTCAGGCCACTCTCACGGAAGCTGGTTGAAACCATGACTTCGTGGAGAAAAGTCATACCTTTGACTTCAGCTCTGCTGAGTGTTTGATTCGAACTGATCGCTTTTAAATATTGATGAAAAATTAAAGCTTCCTTTCTGTCTCCTAGCAGCAGGTGAGTCGAGGACCCTTGCTACGTTGCCATGGTGTTCAAGAGTGCATCTTATTGGTGACTCAGCGGATGTTCAAGTATCCTGCACTTATTCAGCGCATTCTGGACAACACAACAGGTGAGTCATGCCAGTCATCTGCCTCCTTCTTTTCTCAGATCTACAATATACTAGAAAATTAAAAAATGCTGGTTTTCACATTTAGCTAACATTTATGGTTCCACACAACGAAGCAAAACCAGGCTTCATGGGAACCTTTTCCTCTTCTCCATTTTTCTGTTATTTACTGTAAACTTAACCCTTTAACACCCAGGGTAATATATTTGGTACGTGAAGCTTTTGTGAGTTGGATTTAGTAAATTAAAACTCATATATGCAAATTCATATTTATTTATTTCTTTTGAAAAAAATGTCAGAAGATGAAATTCAAGCTTCACAGTTTTACTGAAATGATGAATCTGATGATTGTTTCTATTTTATCCAGATGATGAAGAAGAAGCTTCCTCTGTGGCCCAGGCTCTGCTGATGATCAGAGAACTGCTTAGTTCAATAGACCAACAGGTACTGAAGTGTTCGCTCCCTGTGCAATAATCTGTGCGTCATTCATTCTCTTCATATTCAAATATCAGCAAACTCACAAAGAATTTGTTCTTTTCTAAATCTTACACATTCAGACATCAACTACAAGTCAGTGCAAACACTCATTCTTCCTAAATGACACTTAGATTGGGTCTTTAGATCTCTAGTTTCTAGCTTGTGCTAACAACCCAGCATTCATTAGCTCTCCTACCTCAGCTGTAGGGTGGACGACTTGTTTCACTAACCAGAGAGAGGATTTGTAGCATTTACAGGACAAACAATTCCCTGCTCTGTTCGACAGGCTCTAAACTTCCACACAAGTGCTTTTAGCTCATACTCGAGATCTTTGTTTATTTCTAACTGATTTACTTCTGTTTTTTATCTACTGAAAATCTCATCGTATTTTCTGTCTTACTACACTGTAATACAGTCATAATATGTAGTATTTATTAGTTTCAATAGAATAACATTTAGTAATAAGACCTTAGTTCTACTATTGTTACTATTACTCTACTTTTACTAAAAAAACTCAGCTTCATTTTTAAACACTGAGCTCAAAGCACACCACTAAAAACAGACGATGCATGAGAATGATTGATATTACATTAAGCACTAATATGGTTACTCAGGGTTAACTTTAGCAGGCACTGCCACACATGAGCTTCCTATCTCAGATGTTTCAGTGTGTTGTG